GGAGAAGGGGAGGGGAGGGGAGGGAAGGGGAGAAATGATAGAGGCCAGGTGTGGTGACTCACATCTATAATCCTAACACTTTGGAAGACTAAGGCAAGAGGATCACTTGAGGGCAAGAGTTTGAAGCTGTAGTGAGCTACAATCATGAGTGATACTCCAGCCTGGGTGACAGAGTGAAATCTTATGTTGGAAAAAAAAAAGGAATGTTATGTTAAAAAGCACTTAGCTTGGACCCTGGCACACTACTAAGTGCTTAAAAAATATCAGCGGCCATCTTTGTTATTAAAAACAGAAGTGATCTTCAAAAAGTTCACGAGCAATGCATGTAATGAAAAAACTATGCATAAACTTCAAAATGTTTTTGCATCAGAATAAACTTGTACTAACTTGTTATGACACATCTGAACAGAATCTAGTTTGAGACACTAAGAATAAGGCATCAGTTTGAAAGGGCCCCTATCAGACAACATGAAGTGTGCTAAAATTGAAGCAAGAACAAACATTAAATTTATGGTGATGCTTTAGTGGACGAATGGCAAAACTATTCCTGTTTTATGAAAAGTTTAGGGGGACAATGCCCCAAAGAAATCAGCAGTTTACAAATGCATCACCTGTTTTGGGAACCAGGTGGTATTGAAGATGAAATCCACAGAGGCAGACCATTTGAGGCAAGAAAGTAAAAGCAGAACTAAAAGAATCTATCCTAGCTGCTCTGTGTAGGCCTCAGCCAAGCCGCAGGCGTTTCTGCCGTCTGGGTGTTTCTCCCCTGACATACACGGGGCCTAGATTGTAACCTAGTAACTTCCTTGGGTTTCTGTTGCCTTTGGGGCAGGTGGTCCGACTGGTCTCAAGGACAAGGACGAATCTGACCTTCCCCCTTGAGCCCGGGACCTTGAGGATGATGTCATCTCTCTCTGTCTTATGACCCTCACGTGCACTCCCACCCTGAAAGGTGGATAAAAGAGAGGCAAGAGATTGAGTCAGGGGGCTCGGTTTTGGGAAACACACTAGTGTTCCGAGTGCCCCCGGCCGAATAAACCTGCTTCCTCTAATCAACTGGTGCCTGGAGTCTTTTGTCTGCGTCGGTTTCGTGCTACACATTCACATCAGTTTGCAAGAAAAAAATTAATTTCATTCATACCCTAATTAAAGAGTAATTACAATTAACACAAGCACTAGAGAATGTCACAGACATCTCATTTGGTTCAGTTTACTTGACTTTGTCTGAAAAATTAAAGTTAAGCAAACTTTCCACTGGCTAGGTGTCAAAACTGTATGCCCAGATTAGCTGCAGATAAGAGCAGTACTTTCAGTGGAAATTTTAAACAAGTGGGATCAAGATGCTGAAGTATTTCTTCAAGGAACATATAAAATACATTCCCGAAGACAAAGAAAAATCGAAGCAATGGCTACTAAGTGGTGGAAGCCGTTCAGCAAAAGCAAAACAAGTAAGTCAAGAGCAAAGAACATGACAATAGCTTTGGGGATGCTCAAAGCATTTTGCTTGTTGACTTTTTGGAGGCCCAAAGAACAATAACATGGGCTTATCACAAGAGTGTTTGGACAAAGTTAGCCAATGTTTCAGGAGAAAAATCCCCAGGACAGAGCAGCACCAAAGTGTCCTTCATCATTCTTTTTATCAAAGAAGAGCAATTTTGTGAGAATTTTGATGGGGAAGCATTAGGCATTCTCCCGATTTGGCATCTTCTGACTTCTTTTTGTTTCCTAATCTTAAAATATCCATAAGGGGTATCCATTTTCCTTCAGTTAATATTGCAAAAATGATTGATTGCATTGACATGGTTAAATTCCCAGGACCTTCAGTTCTTTAGGAATAGACTAAATGCATGGTATCATCACTTACAATTTATCTTGAACTTGATGGAGTTTATCTTCAGAAATGAAGTTTATATATTTTTTCTTTTAATGTAATTTTCATGAGCTCTTTGAAGTACCTTCCTATAAGGCAATAAAATGATAATAATAATAGCCAGGACTTGTACAGTGTACTTCCATAGTACTGCTGTGGGGGCTTTACATATGTTTACACATTTAATTCTCACACCTACTTTTCGAGGTAAATATTCTTTGCCCGTCTTATAGATGAACAATTACCATGAAATGGATAAACACTTGCAGTGGGATGCAGTCTGTACGTTTTGTACAGGAAAAGGCAATCGGGGAGAGATATCATGAAGGAAGTGGCCTTGGAAAGAAAGGAATGTGAAATCTGGGAAATTCCACTTGGGTAAGAAAGGGCAGTGAGGGCTTTGTAGGTATAAAGGAAGTTATGTGAGCAGAGGTTGAAATATTAAAATTTGCTCAGTCTGGTGATGAGCCTAAGGATATCTGTTGTATTATTTTCTGGACTTTTCTTCACCTTAGAAATAATCACTAATTAATAAAAATAAAAAAAATAGTTAATCATCATATTCTGGAGAAATAAAACATTTTACTTCCTGTAATTTTGGCCTTCCTATTATACATCCAAGAAACATTTGCTGATCGGTACAATGAGTAAATGCCAGTTTGCTTTACCCTTAGTGTTTTAATTCTATTCACCTTTTTTACTTACTTCAGTTTGTAGATATTTGGGGCCATATAAATTTACCCCGACCCTTGTCATGATTTCACAATATTCCATAGTTCTCTGGCCCCTCATTTTTCAATTTAAATTTTTATTTATTTTTAACCGTGAATACATTATTTTTCCGGTCCCCCGTTGATCCTAATTTTCTGCAACTACAAGCACTGTTCCTAAGACTGTTTGGGATTCTGCACGCCGAGTATCCTTGTACAGGCTCTTTCAAGCGTTTTTCAAGTGTTATTCCAGGGTAGGCACCAGGAAGTGGAATTGTCGGGTTATAAGCCCAATATTTTCTAATTAAATTCGCTTGTGAGGCTC